GTATGAAAAGTTGGCGTGAAAGTTACGCCCCTGCTCTTAGCAACTCAAGCCAACGAGGACAAGGTCCGACTAAAAGAATTCTGTACCTCATTGACATTCTACCACTGTAGTAACCTTCAGATGAAACATCCGTAGTGGAGGGTTTCGACTTCGAGTAGGAAGTGTAAGATGTCGTTCCTCTGTAAATATTAGGTACATAATATGAGGAAAACAGGATTTTCATAAAAAAGATCAGCTACCCCAGTTTGCACTAAAATTTCCTGCGTAAGTTATTCCTTTTCGTGATCAAGGCGCTCTTGGTGTGATCGCTGCATGGTTATCCTGTTTACCGAAGGAAAACTCATCGTTCAAAATGCCAAATCTTCTTATATATCAGGGCCACTTCCTCACCGCAGTCGTAACTCAAGGAAATCTGAAGTGTGTATGCTTGAAGGAGATTCCACGATAAGAACGAAGGTCGAAGAAGGAGAAATTTGCCTAGTGGGGAGGGTGCGGACTGGCATGCATTGGCAGCGAAAGATTTGACCTCGGCGATCTAGCATGGCTCACTCTTGGCGCGGTTGGCGGGGTACGCCCACCGACTATCTAATCACTCGCCGCAGGTCTATACGTGGCGAGTGATTAGATAGCAGAGAGAGCGTAGTGTTGAAGAGGGCACAGCGATGAGAGTCGCATCAATGAAATCAACGGGCAAGGAAGGGGTCCCATTTCTCGGGTTCTGGGCCGTTTCTCATGGTTCTTCCTTCTTTCGTGTACCACTCACCATCCCTAGGTTAATTTGAAATGGGTTGCTTTTTCATCGTGAATTCGTCCTTTAAATCAAGCTGTTAGCATCGGATTGAATTGGTGTCAATTTCACGAATCTAACTGTTAGAGCACTCACCTGGAAGTATCGGTAGAGTTCAGACGATCATATGTGCGATCAGTGGATAAGCTGTCCGAGCACTCCGTTCGAACAGTTTCCGTGGGCGAACGAGTACTAGCTGCTCGACCATGAGGCGTTTTCCTAACGACACTGATAAAATGGTGTTACCAAATGAGTTAAGCTAGTTTGTGAGGTTATTGAATTTTCACCAGAAGTAATCTGCAGGGCGTTTTTTCAACTTGAGAGCCCTAATCTCCTAATCGCTTGAATTCCAAATTATGGATAATGAACGCGGTCTTAGAAAATAGACGACAGAAAATCCGGAGACTAGCAGATGATATGAATAGGTAAAGCAAAAGCACGATTGTATTTTCTACTCTCGAGCGATTTCACGAGAATAAAAGGCGATCTGGGGCGGAAGTGGTGTAGTGGCAAGTGGCACGCTTACCACGCGAGCGGTCCGGGGATCAAATCCTGGGTCGTGAGTCGCCCGGGCCAACCAAGCCTTCCATCCCTCCGGGGTCGGTTAATTGGTACCAGACTTGTCTGGGAGGATAAAAACACTGACTTGTACATCGGCTGGCCCCCGCAAGTCATTGTATAGGCCACATCGCATTCAAACGCCACTACGAATGTACAAATGGAAGTAGAATGCGTGCCGCATCCCAAAAAGGGATTGATCAACGGCAAATGCTTTATCCTTTTATTTAGAAGCGATTCTCCGCCCGCCTTTGTCTAAATTTCGGGTTTTAAAAGCACACAGTTTTTTTAAGCTTTTCTCATAGAAAAATTGGGACAGTACATACCAATGGAATATAAAGAAGTCAGGGCGCCACAACATAAAATTTTCCAAAATCGGCGTAAATTTTCGCGTTACTTCCTTTTCTTTGCAGACATGCCCCCCTTTTAACAAACGTTACATTTAAGCCTTAACCAGGCAGAGAACACGATAATTGGAAGGGAGAGCAGAATTCTGATGGACTTCAATTAGGCCTCTTTGTGGCGTGGCCCCCCCCATATGCATAACCGCATCCCTCAGCGCGATGAGGGGTCTAGTCCATCAATGACAACCAACGACATCACTAAACCGCTCCGCCCACCAGCCATCTTGTTCACTGCCTTTAACTCAACTTTTTTTGTGGTATAATAATGGATCTATGGGACTCCAACCACACAATGAGCTAAGGTCAAACATGCGCTCCAGTGATACATATTGTTGGTACCCCGACTGAAAGATCAAACAATGAGAGATCGATTCTTCATGTCCTTCTCCAGAAACAATAAGTTTTTGCCTCATATTTTCAGCATTTTTGCAACAATTCCTCATAACATAACAAACCTGTCTGCGATGAACGGGTCTCCGTACGCGTTGATGGTCGATGAGCTAAGAGTGGCCTTTGCTGACTGATGGGAAGGAAGCTGCTTCCGATGAGGAGCCGATGCTTTCCTGAGAAAAGAGCATATATTCAAGATCTAATTTTTCCTCTAGTCTATCGGAGCTTCGATTACCTCCTCTTGTTAGGCAATTCGAGCTTTATTGTCACCCACCTCTGCAGTTTGATGCTGGCTCTGATGATGTTCTTTCGCTCGATGCTGTCCTCGTTCCTCTTTCGGGACTTGATGCACCAACACAAAGCGAGCAGGAAGAGGATCGCCACCAAAATTGCGACCAACACAACCGCCACCACGATGCCCGCACGCCACATGACCGGTTCGATATAGGGCTGAGTTCCTAAATACTTAAGTCTAGTTTGTCCACAAATCGAATGAACACGTGAAAAGGAAGATCTCTCAAAGAGTGGAGTAGGTTTCGAAACATTCGAAGTGGCCGAAATACGAGATAAGAAGAGCTGGCGACGATAAATTGGTATATTTTATCCTCCAGAAGAGAACATACCGACGACACCAAGTGTTGCCGCGAGCAGTCGCGCTGCGGCTTTTCCAACATCAATTTGGCTTGAGAAGTTTCCGATTTACTTGTTAATTTTTCTACCTACATAGGCAGCACCGCCGAAGCACACATGGCGACATACGACAGTAAGCTCAACCCTGCCTTACAATCAAAAGCGAAGTTTCGCCTCGAAAATATCATTGTGACCCCTTTACTCTTCAAAGGTGGTACCATACAATCGATATCGAATGGACATTCTTGCCTAGCAAAATTATAACCAAAAGGGAGAACAAACCTTTCTCACAGACGAATGGCATCAGGTTGTTGCAGTTTTGTGAGCCAATTTTGCCGGTTCTCGAGCTCAACCAGCCACATTGCGTAGACGGAATCGAGACTGAAGAGATCCATACAATGGTGTCCGATCGGCTCTGAAAGAGGAGACGTCAGTTAAAGGTT